CATACCTTGCTATACTGTTTGAGTGCCTGGCTGTTACTCAGTTTTACAGTAGACCAACACTACTAATGCTGAGACAATCCTCAGAATAAAACGAGATTAAATACATGGTAAAGACTCCTACAGAAACATTTCTCTTTTAATAGACCACATTCCAAACTCTGTGTGCTAATCTCATAAGCAGTTTTATTGGAGCACAGAAATTTAACTCGAGTTGATTTTATTTCTACAGAAAAAGAAAGCTCTCTAGCTTGTATTTTGCAAACAGAGCATATTTTTGGAAAAAAAAAAAAGTTTTGAACCTTAAAGTACATGCAAAATGTTCTGATCTAATTTATTGTCTTTCGTAAGTGGAAAGAAAGCCAATTTAAAAGTTTAGAAGATAGGCAGAGAACACTGTCATCTTCTGCTTAGGAGGAAATTAAGGCCAGCAGAGGTAATAAAGTGGAAAGTTGACACTGAAGCATACAACACAGCAGAAACATCTCAGGGTATTACAGCTAGAGCATGCTATACCTGGAAAATTGTCTCTATGCTGACCTATACCCAGATAGCTCTATAGGCAAGAACCCCTAAGAGATTGCTGGTTTTAAAAATTTTGTTTTCTTGTAAAGTTACAACATGATTCTACTGCTAGTGGTTGATGGGGGGGGAGTGGTGGGGAGGGGGACACGACACACACATGACTGGTTTTGTGCAGTGGGTTTTTTTTTAAACAAGAGCCCAATCATTCTTGTGGTCTGCTCTGTAATAAAGAATGAACACTTTACAGCTTCATTCACCAAATTACCCTATTTCTTCTAAATAAATAGTTTTAAAGGTTCTGAAACACCTGTCTTGGGAAAGGGGATGCCATAAAGGAAAATTGTAAGTGTAGATCAATATAATTCAATGCAATATGAAAATGGACATTTGAAATTCATTTTGGTAGCCTTAATAGAGTGTATTCCATGCAATTCTTGCTGTTAACTCAGCTTCTTGCCTGCTTCTTAGAGGGAGAAGAAGTGTGATACTGGAGTGTAAATAAAAACAGGTAAGAAGAGAAGTCAGAAACGATGAAAGAAACATGTTGACTCAACCCATGAAACCAGACACAGTGAGTCCATAGTCACGCAAAACCACTGTTAGCGCAAAACTTCATTGGTATGCATTTAACTGAAAGATGTGAAAATTGTATATTTTTCATCTGTTATGCAGCAAGTGTGATTTATCAGCAATGGTACATGTACATTATTTCTTAGTAGGTTAAAAACTCAAAAATTAAGTAAATTATACACACTTGTCTGGTTCATATTTTGGAGTAAAAACTGGAAGGCACAAGAGCTGACAACTGGATATTGGCTTTTCTATTTCTTGGTTTCCCCAGTTCCCCTGAAGTCTAGGAACAGACAAACCTTAGATAATTTGCTGGTGCCAAGAGACAGATTCATCTATCTTAAATAAAAGTAGGCTGGAAAATACCACGTGAACATGTATTTCTGTTACTTTAAAATAGTCATGACTTCTCTCCTTCACAGTTCAGTAGGAACCAAATGCAAGACAATAATTAGAAAATAAATACTGTATGCTTTCCCTCCCTCCCTCCCTATGCGCCCTTTTCATATAAGAGATTATGGCATGAAACAGTTTATATCACAGCCCTACTGCTTATTTCTCTTCCTTTTTTGGCATGAAGCAAACATAAAAGAATACTCTGAAGAATCAATCTGTAAGTTATCTTTGATATTCAACTTCTCCATTTTCCATATGCAGTTTTACTTCTGACAGGTGATGAGGGGCTTAATTCCTTTTTAAATAACAAAGCCTCAGACTCTCTGCCAGTATAGATGTATATGGTTTTTACTACCTGTTATATGAGCCCATATCAGCTAACAGTCTACCTGCATAAATTGAAAATTATCCCCTACCACAAACTTGACAAGAAATATCTTGATATTTTTTAAAAATAGTTTTTGTCCTAAACTTTAAGTTAATGAACGTTAAACTGCATTTTATGACGGTTGGATGATGCAGAACAGATGTTGAACTAAAACTTCATTTGCCAAATGTCAGCTCAGAACACGTATGTAAAACTGGAGTATTAGTAATCCAAACTACATGGTGAAAACAATGGAAAAAATTGACAACTACATCAGTGCCTGCCAACCATTTTTCTGGGACTTCAGATGAAAATTCCGCCTGAACTGAAGATTCTAGAAAATAATGTTCAGTTTTAGGAACTCTAATTGCTTATTAGGATGAGTACGTTCTCTTCTGGGTATCTATTTCTCATCCTGAGCTGACTGACATATAGCAAACGCAAATCAAAAGCCTGCAATTAGTAACCTTTTGTCTTGCAGATTTTCCTCTGCCAGTGAGCCTTTGTTTGGACCTCCGGCTGGACAGGTAGGCTCAGATGTCTCAAAATGATGCCCGCCATTCCCCTCCACGATTCCTGTCTGTCACAAAAAACCCCAACCAAGCAGCCAACCAAAGCAGCAATAGGAAAGCAGTAAGGAAACTCAAAACTTAGCAGTTGACAAAGTCCATCCGCTGATCGACATGTTTAATTTTTTTCTTGCTGTGTAAGGTATAAATGTAACCCTCTGAGGAATACAATGTAACTTAACACAGCCATTTAAAGTCTCTCTTGTATTTGGACCATGTTTTCCTTCTCCCAGTTAAAGCCAGTACTTCTAATTATACCTCCCATGTGCTACCCTAATTATCTCTGTCCTTCCACAGTATTTTTTCAAGCATCTGGAAAGTCTTCCGTCCCCTCCTTTCCACACTTGTCATTTATCCATATTTTTGTAATCTATCCATAGAAATCAAAATGTTAAAAGTCTCCTGATTGCTTTTGTTCCTTTTCCCCAAACTCCTTCCAATTTTTCAAAGTCCTTCCAATAGCTGAATGATCAGCAATTGCTGTGGGCCACAGAGTTTCAGAAGCCAGTCTGCCTAGGTGGTCTATAGCTTCTGGCAACTAAGGCATAACATATTCAGGTGTTTCTCTGACATTTCTTTCCAAGAATTACTTGAACCAACAAATAAGGGCAGCAATACTAAGTAAGAGACACCACACACAGTCCATGGATCAAAGGAATGAGATCAAGAGTAAGGCAAATCTCTTTTGTAAAAGTTATTTTGTGCAAAATCCCAATCCATCTAATAATAATTAGTACCAATATTTAATGATCCCCTCTCAAGAGTTTATGAAGTTCAATTCCTACCTGGACGCCTGCTCATACTTCACATACAGAAATCAATACTCAAGAATGCACAAATGGTATCACAAGACGAGAAAGAACGAAAAAGCAAGCAAATGAAAAATTTGCAAGAGGAAATCTTTTACAAGCACGTATCCTATACATTAACTGACTAACAGTTGTGAAGTGATAACAGAGCAACTAAATGGAGATAACCTTTTCTTAAAAAGATATTATGTCTAGGACCTGTAGAGATACTGTAAATATGTCTTTCCTGGCTATCGGGAAGAGCGCCTTCAACATCATCACGCTTCTCCTAAGAACATTTCATATAGATTACAGTCACTTCTCCTCTGGTTTAGTGCACTCCTAATGCAATTTTCTTTAAGTTTGAACACGAGACAATTACAAAGCAAAGCTCTTCTTCCTCCACGGACTTTTATATTCTGGAATACAAATATATCAAAATACCAAGGTTTCAGAAAAAGACCGTTTCCCTCTGGTTACCAGTGTTTGCTCTGGGGTAAGGGGAAGAAAGGGAGGAATTCAGTTTTTTCAAATTTCTGAAGGAAAAGGCTAAGGGGAAAAAAAAAAAAAAAAAAAACAAACCACACAACAAGACCAAAAAATAAACTGTTGAAGACAGAAGTTTTCTCAAAAAGTAAAGCTCTGCAATGGCACAAGTAGCTGCAAGCACTGACGTTTCTGATGTGCCATAAAATTTAGTTGCTGTTGTGTTCCCAGCTGGAGTGACAGAGAAAACTGCTACAATGCTAAACAAGTAGAGAGATCAGGTTGTGAATATTTGGTTTTTAATGCAGGGAAAGAAGTCTTTTAAAATTGTTGCTTAAACACTTCCAGCATTTTTGTTGGGGCAAGTTTTTTGGCTCTCCTATCATTAAATTGCACATAGCAAAAGTAAGTAAATAAAATCACACCATCTGCCATAGAAAAACCTTGTATAAATTAACACATTCAACAAGTTTAAACTTGGGTTACCAGAGAGACTTGCTTTCTTTTCCATCAGAAAACTGAACAAAACCACCAAGTGCATCAAGGATTACAGTTAGCATTTCCATTGCTGTTATCATGAAAGTCAAATCATTTGCCAGAAAACTCTTTCTTTCTAACACATCTGCCTGATGTGGGTACGTATGGCGACAAAGTTTCCTCCTTGCATCTTCCCTAGGTGTATGAGGAGGGTTGTGCCTCACAGCCACATTAGAGTTGTGCTATATACTTAAAAAGCATGCATAGAAAACCATTTTTGCAAAGCTGCAACACATACATTCTGTTACCACATACTGGTGTTGGAAGCCTGCACAACATACAGGGTGAAGCATAAGCCTAATTACGTATGGCTTCCACGTTGCTCAGTCTCACTGCCCGATGCCAGAATATCCTTTTCTGCAGCTTTTATGAATATTAACTGCGGATAAACCAAGAACTGTAACAACTTCTGCCCAAGGAGCAACTTGAAAATTCAATCCACAATGGTTACAGAATCAAAAGAGTCATACCACTCCTCCCATTTTCAGAGAAAATCACTTTTCATAAGCTTTTGAGGGGTGGCACCTCTGCAGGCAGGCTAAACACACACATTCAAGACCACACCTGTAATTTTGTTTCACGGAAGAGCTCATGAGAGCCTTCCAAGGCAAAGCATTAGGACAAAGCTGTCAGGCAAACAAAATCTTTCATGTACAGTCATGGGTTTGGTTTTTTTGAACTTCAACAGCAGAAACATACAAAGCAAACCACAATTACAAACCTCTGCACGAGCAAGAAATAGTAGACAAGTAAGGTTTCACCCACCTGGGATCTTTCTGAATGCTATCAATGGAAGGTGACCTAGCCAAGGTCCCTTCAGGTGGGATGGCTGGCCCAGATTTGCTGTATGGTGATTCAACAGAAGGACAATACTGCAGCTGTCGGTAGGGGTCTGCGTAATTGGAGGCTGGGCCGGCCGCATAGCTGGCCCTCTGGAAGGTCGCTGTTGCGTTCTGTGTGCCGTGTTGACTGCCTGTGCGCTGTAAGGGTACGGAGTCGACACCAGGGGAAGATGGGGCTACGACAGGAAAGTAGGGACAAAGTAAAAAATTGAGGACCTGTTCACAGAAATGGTTAACCAGGTCTAGGCAGAGGAAAAAAAAATAAAAACCAAAACAACACACACATATAAAACAGGGGTTCAAAAAGAATGAGGAAAAAAAAAAAAAAAAGACCAAACAACATTGTCATTTTCAAAACCATTGAAGTAAATAACCGTCAAACGAATTTCTAAGTGACATGCCACTTCTGGACTAGAAGACCTGTATACCAGTTGGGCTGTAGCAGCGCTTTTCACTTGGGGTTTTAACTGCACTAACCTGAAATGAAAAAAAGTGCAGAAGCAGTGTGGGAATAGTCAAGCTAAGGTGCACAACCACCGCCGAGTGAGGCTTTGGCAGTCCTTACAGGGGTGGCAGTCAGTCAGATCCACCAGCAGAAGGAAGGTCAAACCAGGCCCAAGAGTCCCAATTGAGATGGACAGCTCCATGGCAGAAGAAACAGCCAGCCACAGCCATCCCAAATTTGTAGTCCTGGTATCTGTAAAGCAGGTAAAACCAGATACCGGGACGTACGCTTCGTTAACCCATCTTCTGCATATTTCACCTTAAGTAATACTTAGGGGACTGCTACTGCTAACTCAGCCTGAAAAAGAGCCAAGCACAAGGTGATCACATCGATGTCTTAATGCACGCCAGCAACGGCTGTGCTCACACACCACAGCTCAAGATTAATGCATTACCAGTTTTGAGCAGCTTAACCAATAGATTTAAACTGACTTAACGCTTTTGCGACTCAAAAAATCTTATTAATCTGTCTTGTAGCTCATTATCTTTCCGTTACAGCACTGTGTACTGGAGATCCAGTCTGCTTTATGATTCTTACTAGACATGTGATATTTTTGAACAGTTAATGGCAAGTGGATTATTCACTGTAAGGGTAAGAGGACCAATATCCACACGATCTTTGGCCTAGAAACAAATACAGATTAAATGCTGGCTCTGCTCAGAAGGAAATTTGGACCCTTTGAAGTGGCATGTGAACTCATGGTGGCTTCCATTTCCCTCTGTCCCAAGACAAGAATACTTTTGCCATCAGGAGGAGCGGGCCCGGGTCCAGGACTATTTTTAGCTGGGTCAAATTCATATGCTAAACTGTAGGCAAAACCGCATATTCAAGAGACATGTTTTCATAATAGATTTCCCAATCATTTCTCATTACCATGCACATTTACATTTTAAGAAAACATACATTTAATATATTATAGGTCCATGAAAGGGGCTTTAAGCATATTATCTCAAAGTGTCAGCAAATGAAATACAGTGAGCTTTAAATACAATTACAGCAGTTTTGTCTGACCTAGTGCTTGTCAAAGTTACAATACCTGAAATTTTAAATTTATATCAAACCTTTGCTGTATTTTTATTTTTTTCTTATGGTTATGAGGTATATAATTTTACAAGAATGAGTATTATCTTATAACTCTGTTGCAAACATAAAAAAGTGGGATCACCCACTTATCTATTGCCCCATACCTGGAAGCGTTCAAGGTCAGGCTGGATGGGGCTTTGAGCAACCTGATCTAGTGGAAGATGTCCCTGCCCACAGCAGGGGGGTTGGACTAGATGATCTTTAAAGATCCCTTCCAACCTAAACCATTCTATGATTCTATGATTACATTAACTTACATATACAGCAACATTTTACACATATTGCTTTTGTTTAATTACTAGTATATATTTCCTTAAGAAATGAGTAATAAAACACTCTGTAAAAATACAGACCTTTTCATAAAACTGCATCAGTTAAAATGCAATAACAGTATTAGCATACTGAAACATCCCATGCACAAATCATGCTAAATTCAGTGTTAGGAAGACACAAGGAAAGCATCACATTTAAACAGAAAATACACACAGTTCAAAACAAAGATTTGGTGCCTTGTGAGAAAACGAGTAAGAAAAAAGTTAGAGAAAAATACTGGAAATATTTTCAAGTGAAAAAGCAAAAATGTAATAGTATACTGACATAGCATACTGTAAGTACTGTCACTCTGCAGAGCATGCTCCTAGCTTTTGATGCATTATACGGAGAACTTCAAAAAACCCTACACCACTAATACTGCTGAAGACAAGAACTTTATCGGAATGCAGATTGCTTTGCGAAATATTCCACTGTGTTTCCCTTCCTCCCCTCTGCAAGACAGTTCAATGCAAATTGTGTTTGTTTCTAAATTCTTTGAAAAATTTTCTATTTTCTCCTTTGTCTTGTTATCAAAATAGGTATTTATATGAATTGAAACTAGCTGTCACCTTAACACCTACGAGCTTTTTGAGTCACTCTGATTCATTTCTCAAATTATCTTCCTAGCAGACTGTTACTTCCTTTTGAATTTTATCACAAAGAACACAGAAGCGCCATAGTCAGAATATGAGAATGAGACAAAACTATGATTAAACATTCAGAAATAAGCTTGTTTGGCCAGTGTTACCCAGATCAATTGAAAGAAAAGAAAAAAAAAAAAAAAAACCAACACTACACTTTAGGAATAACTTCTACATCTAACCTGACTACAGCCACCTTGAGGGACTGTAAAAGGGTTAAGCTTTAGCAGACATTTTTACCCAAAAGCTTCATTTAAAACAGAAGCAAAGCCACCTTCTACCATTACGTTACTCTTGCTTAAACAAACCCTTTTGGCAGCCAGACTTACTGGCTGAGGCGTGGCTCCTGAGGCTATGGCAAACTTTCTGTCTGTTGAAGTCTCCCCTCTATTTAGCTATTGAAACAGGAAAGCCGTACTGATTATGTCTATTAAGATGAATAAATTCAGAAGTCCATTCGCCCCACCCAGCAACAGTAAATCTTCAGCGAGCACAGGGGCATCCAGAAGGCACATGCTTGGAGTGGGCCAGGAGGTGTTCATGTACCAGCTACGTTTGCAGGTGATCAGGCAACCTTCTTCCATGTTCTTACGTTGAAGGCACTTACCCTTTCTCTAACTTTCACACTGGACTCTCCTCTCAAATCCAAGCCAGCTGCACCTTGACCAGAATCAGCTCAGCGTGGGTAAGACGCAATACTACTTTGGCAAGGTTTTGCCTCAGCAAGGGAAGAGCTGAGCAGAAAGGAGTTGTAATGGAGCACTGTTTCTGGAGAAATGGGCTGCTTTATCCTCTCCCAGCACCAGCCCAGCTTTCCTGTGATCTGGCCTGGTTGAAGCAGGATCATGGCCAAGTCATGTTGCTGCCCTGAGTCTATGGTGGACCCTATTCTGCCTCTGCATAAAGTCATAATCAAGACTGTGAAGAAACAGGTTGAATTTTGTGGACACCTTGTTGATTTAACAAGAAGCTTGGAGGTAAAGGCATCCAAAAAACAAGACCTGCTTCTGCTCTTCAAACATCCCCAAATTGACAAGGAGATCAAGATTAAAATCAAAGAAACAAAAGGCCTCAAAACCTTACTTATGCTGTATCTTGCTTTACCTAAGTGACCACCCATGAGAGCAGTTTTTAGTAGTGACTGCTGCTCCCACTTTTTAAAACCTTACATAGAAATTCAGGGGTTGATGTGAGATAAGTAAGTCTTTCACAGTCTGCTCTGCTCCTTTTGCCCTGGTCAGCCTACCTGCGGCTCCGTCCCAGGATCGCTTGGCACAGTGGCCTTGCAGAGGCACGAGGAGAGGGGCGACCTGCACCCACCCGCCCCTTCCAAGTGCCCCAACTCCACACGCATGAGAGGGGCTGGTACGGACCACAACCTGCAACGCTGCGGCTGGCTCACGCCGACGGGAGGGTCACAGCACCCACTCTCTGCTGCAGCCAGCAGATATGGAGTACAGCAAGTAACATGCTCAGTAGTGGGCCAGTAAATCTCTACACATTCATGAAATTTTAAGCTTCAGTGTAAGAACCATGCTTGAAGAGGAGAATTTTAATTTGGGGTGGAGAAGAGAGGTTTCATTGAGAATTTCCAAAGTGAGCATTTCAGACCATGCAAATCAAGAACTATTGTCACAGTGAAGAGATTTCAGTTTGTCACCTGACTATTTAAGATCTTGTTTTAATTTGGCATGAATACCTTAAAAGCACCATGTAATCTCAACCCTTTGCTCCTGCAGCACCAAAATCACATCCCCAGAAAACAGAGCATCTGGGGTACCACACAGATGTTCAACATAGTCTTAGAAATCTTTGCCAAAGAGGAAGAAAAGCCCCTGTCAACTATAATGAATATCCTCCAAAGACCTGATGTATGTCCTGATTATGGTTCTCTTGATTGCAGAAATAGCTTCTAGAAAAGCCAGCCTTTACAATTTTCTACACCTTTTGCACAGTATTAACAAGGATACAGCAACTTTTATATTTATGCTGAAAATTTAGGCATATCACTAAATATGCTCACAGGCTCATAATGAGATACTCAACTTAGAAATTCACTTCCAGATTTTGCACCTTCTTTTCAAATCTAGGAGATCTCTAGAAACAACTAACCAAACCCAAAAAGCAACAACATGTTGATTTAGGCAGGTATACTATTGCACCATACCCAAGTATCTTAGGGAGATCAAATTCACATAAGAACTGCTAAAAAAATTCAGACTTCCTAGAAGTGAGAAGTCATTTTGCCCAGTTAACATATGTAGGATCAGACCTACAGAAAGAATAAACTAGTTTCCGAGACTTATCTTGCTATACCTTCTTGCTGAAAATTACTTGCCTTATGCTGCTGTTTGATGTGTGGATATTACCCTGTAAAATTTTCCTCTTATTATTCCATACTAGACATTCAGTTCCTGTGTTAACCTTCTCCTTGTGCATTTCATACAGACTTCACAATTCTTCACTATTTTTTTCTTTTTTTCTTCACTGATTTCCACCTGCAGTTAATTCTTACTATCACGTAAAAGTTGAAAATTGGATCCCAATCAGATGTCCTTTCGATGCCAGATACGTCTGCCACCCCTCCATGAGCTAATAAATTATACAAATACCAACATTCTGTTGGTAGCAAATA